ACCGAAAGGAGTGAACATCATCGATATTTTGACATCAAATGATCAAACCGTGTTCGACGATATAATGAATTCATTTGTTGGCATCACGGCTGTACAAATTGGGTTGACTGACATTCTGCGGGCGTTGGAAATTGTTCCAGATTGTATTATTGGTAATTACGGTTACTTTGTTCCAAGCTACAATCCAACTAAAATTATCATCTTCTATGTTATTGTTATTTCAAAGTATTCTACTTGAAGGTGACAGGGGTGACTATTTGCGATAATTTTAACCATCATGTGTTATGCAAAAGAGTAACAATTTAGAGTTATCATGATTGTTATATTTCTTTCATAATAAAAAAAAACGCAACTTCACAATAATATTAAAAAAATTTCAATTATAAATTCATTTTTCCGATTTGTTATAACCACTAAACATTGATTAATCATCCATATAATACGAGAAATAAGACTTTCACTGAAGGATGGATGGCTGGTGCTGACATGGACGGGCAAGTAATAGGCTACTTTTTTATTCCGCGCTGTCAAAATGGCGACCGGACCGCTGTCTTGGAGCTGGTTGACAGATTTAGACTGGACTTTGTCTGGAAAGTAGCTGATGCACGCAGGATTGTTATAGAAGACCTTTATTTATATCGTGCCAATGATGTGCGAACTAAGGAACCATCTGTTTCGATATATTTTGAGATTCTTTTCTACTCACATATCTTAAAAAAGTTTTGAAACTTGTCTAGATTTAAATCTTTCGTTTTTCCTCATTATACTTTTAGGGCACAGCACTGGGGAGATTGGCTGCGCGTACGCCGACGGTTGCTTAACGCTGGAAGAGACTATCTTGTCGGCGTACTGTCGCGGCTTGGCCTCCAAGCAAACTGAAGTTATACGCGGAGCTATGGCAGCCGTCGGCATGGGATACGACAACGTAATGCAATTTTTTTATACGTTTCGAAATAAGCTATAGCTATGAGCTATAAGCGAATACATTTTAACGAACAATGATTTGAAATTTTCCTTCTATTTCGAATAAAATGATCTTCACCTTCTCTTATATCTTCTTTATAAGAAAACTACGGGGATGGGAAGAGAACTAGAATTATTATATTATATTTGATGTCTCACCGTCGCCTTGATCCTAAATGCTTATTAGTGTCTTATTAGCCGATGTTAATTAGTGTCGTAACTTTTTTAAAAATTGTGATAAGATCGTGATAGTTGAAATCGCTGTATCTTTTTTCATTGCTATATATTTATTTTGATGTTTTCGAGTATATTCTAACCTAGCTGTTCCCGTGCGACTTCATCCGCATGAAATTATGAAAATTTTATTTTATTGTTTACATTTGTCAAATTATCAATTACAAATATCAAAATGACATGACATGATATTAAACCATGGCAACCTTGCTTCCTTGATGTTGGCAACAACTTATGGTCTCTTTCCCACATTAAGGTTTTTATCCAAAATAAGGGCGTGAAAATATACAGCCTAATTCATAATTTAGTATTTGCATAAGAGATTATGTTTCTTTCAGTTAAAAAAGATTTGCCCTGCCGACATAGAGATAGCGTGTCACAACAGCGCCTTATCGTCCACTATATCAGGACCTGTTGGTGCACTGAAAGATTTCGTTGCCTTGTTGCAAAGTCGCAGTATCTTTGCAAAAGAAGTTCCTTGTGGAAACATCGCCTATCATTCTAAATATATCGCTGCTGTTGGTAAGTATTTATCTAGAACCATAATATGATTGTTAGCTGTCTTTTTGTATGCCTATTCATTTTAAAAGATTTCTATTTTTCGACATTATTCACAAGTTAAAACATGTGATGTCTCATTAAATAGTCTTCTTCCTCTTTGTGATATTTGTTGAGCTATAGCCATAAGCTTTCTTGATCATGTCAAATTTAACACTTACTAGGACCACCCTTATTTGAGGCTTTAAAGGAGGTAATAAGGAATCCAAAGAAAAGAACCTCTAAATGGTTATCTACTTCTTACTTGCAAACCAGATGGCACGAGGATATAACGACGTTCGCATCGGCGGAATACTTTACTAATAATCTATTGGTACGTTATGATTTACTTCTAGTTGCATTTTTATCAAACCTTTGTCTCGGTTGAAGAAATAATAAGAAAGAAGCACATATGAACCCAACATACATTCCGCAGAGTTCAGTATATTTTGAAGAAACGAGTAAATTGATACCAAACAATGCTGTGGTGATTGAAATAGCCCCGCACGGGCTGCTGCAGGCGATAGTGAAGAGATCCCACACGTCGTGTGAACACGTTCCCTTAACTAGGCGTGGACATGAGAACCCTAACAAATTCCTGCTCAGCGCCATTGGACGGTATAAAATATTTTTTTAATGAATGCAAAAAAAGTATTTTCACATAATCTTTCTTTTGGCCTAATCACGTAAAATCCTGCTGTTCACGGATGATTCTGATCTCTTCAGAGACAGATTTGCAGTATGTTTGTAAATTTAATATTTTACGTATAATGAAATTGTACGAAAGTTGTTTTTGAACGCATTGCAGTTCGTAGTTATATTTGTGAAATTATACTCCAGGTCAATAAACACTGTATAAATTACAGGTTATATGAAAGCGGGTTGAATCCACAAGTACATGCCTTGTATCCTAGTATAGAGTATCCAGTCGCCACTGAGACTCCACTGCTCTCAAACCTTGTGGGATGGGAGCACAGCGAAAATTGGTAATTTGTCGTTGAAAATATTACTAGCCATCGTCCTATTTCCGCGATGAAAAAAAAAAATATAAAGCAGCCTCCGTGTACTGCAGACGATGTTTTACGTCTATATGATGTTTTATTGAATTTTTTGCATCTGTTCTGGTGATACCTTCGATACCTTCAACAAACATCAATCTATATAAACCTTCACATTTATGTAAGATATTGCATGGCTAGATTTTAAATTCGGCCATGACCTACAGTGAAAGCAGCTTATCTTAACCAATAGCATTAACGTTGTCTTGTATTATTAATAAAGCTCCAGGATTTGATTTCATCATGCGTTATGAATCAAAAAATCATTAAGCACAAGGTTGTTTATCTGTACCTAAAAGATGTTTATGTCGAAGAACTTTAAATATTTCTATATTACTAATTTCAGGCCAGTATTTTCTAAAACAGAATTATTAGATAAAATTCGAAAACAAAGTCAAACCTGTAACTATTTCATATCGCTTTATGATGACGATTACAAATTTATAAATGGATACTATAGAAATGGTAAACTAATTTTCTCAATTTAATTATTTTGAAGATTTTTATTTTTTAAACTGCATATTTTTTTCGTTCTAGGTGTGAATGTAATTCCGGAAGCTCTACTTTTGGTTCTCACTTGGAAAACATTAGCTATGTCAAGAAATGTTGATCATAACCAAATGTCGGTTAAGTTCGAAAATGTGTACTTTAACAGTGAAGTATTAACGGGAGAAAATAAATTCGTTAAGATAAAAGTTTCTATTAATAAAGGAAACAACAAATTCGAAGTGAGAATTTTTGTATTAGCAGCAGTTGTAGCTTATATTTGCACAAACTTTTCTAAATCCTATTATTTCATTATTTAGATAACAAACAATGAGATAGTTGTTGCAACTGGATACATAGAAGACAAGTTTAATTCAAAAAAATGCGACTTTGAACCAACGATCGATAGCTCGGAAAACTATATTTTCATGGCATCTGATGAAATATACCATCTCTTGAGTTTTAAAGGATATTCCTTTAGGTAAGTTTATTTTAAATAATACGGATTATTTAGTATTTCTAATCGATTTATCTAAATATGTCTAAATATCGAGTATTTGGTTGGTATTCTCATACTTAGATCGATTATATTTAAAACAAAAGGTTTCCAGATTGATTGTTAGAAAAACCATTGTCCCTATATTCGACGTTACTAGACTTCACAGTATCGTTGGCTGACTTTTATTTCCCAATGTTTACAAATCGCCTGAAATCTTTGAATTATCAATTAGCCTAGTATAAAAGATAGACGTAAAGTGGAAGTAATTCCGCGTTTTATCTGATGAGTGTGTGTGACAGAGACCAGTGGTAATACTCGGCCTTCCCGTCCTTTTAAGATAAGGGAATATAAGTAAAGCAAGATGACCAATGTTTTAATGAATGGAATAGAATGTACATTTTGGTGATATTTAAGAAGGTAATACTCATTTGTGGACATTCATGGCATAATATCACGTAGCCGTCCCCTTCATAATAGCAAGAAAGATGTTCTATATATATATTTTCGCTTTCTAGTAAAGAATTTAAAAAAATACGCTCTGCAAACTCGTCTATTAGCAAAGCTACAGTCCAATGGACAAAGGATTGGATTTCAAACATCGACGCACTCATCCAACTAAATGTTATGAAACGAAACCACAGTGGAATATCTACACCTAAACTAATTCAAGAATTAGTCATCGACGTCAATGAACAAGTGTTGGATGACATCATCCAAGTAGCTGAAATATTTGACCTCTATGATATAGTAAGGTTAGTACATTTTTCTCTACATTGTATTATGAGCATAATTCCAAACCAAATAGCATTGGTATACAAAATCTGTATTCCAACCAGATTATCCATTTATTTCCATAAGTGACTTTACTTGATAAAATATATTATTCATAGTTTTATTTTCAGATGCGGTGGTGTCACTATTAAAAACATGATATTTTCTGACAGAGCTGTAACTTATACAAAAGTGCGTAGTCTTTTATTGACTAAAAAAAATGGGGCCTCCGTTTCACAAGATGATTATAAACAGGTAAGGTAATATAATATATTGGACACGGGCATGGATACGGAAAATGTCTTTAGTAGTAACTTTCTCATTTTTCAGTATTGTGTCTGCTACCGTTTTTATTATCTCTGGTGCCTGAGTCTAGCCTCTGGCAGCTGTCGGTTCGCTATTATTTGACCATTATAGAGTCGCATTATTTATTGGTACATTATACTATTTTACATTATTACTTATGGCATATATACATTATTATTTCTTTCATCAGGATCAATGGGACAGTCAATACACGCCTGTTTCTGCACGTGACGTAACTGAGGAATTTAAAGTAACAATGAAAAATCCTGGTGATTTTAAAACTATTAGTTTTGAGCAAATAGCTACTCCTAAAATACTGTCCAATAAAACTATAAAGGTACGTTTTCGGGTATAGTAGCAAAAACAAGAAAGTAACTAAAAAGTTGTGAATATCAAAATTGAAATTTTTGTTGATATTTAGGTCTATTACGCTGGAGTATCACAAAGAGATTGCCAACAATCTATTTTCGGAAACAAACCTACCAATTTGAACTTAGGCATGGACTTTAGCGGGAGAGATGTCAAGTAAGTGGTATAAAATCTTTGAAAATATGTAAAAGAAGATTAAGTTACAATGCCTAACCTAGTTATTTCCTGACTTGTGTTATGTAGTTAGGAAGTATAACCACCGTATTAAAAGAGCCAACAGTTAAGTTTGTCCTTGTTTTATTTTTAAATGTAATTTCTGTTTACCAGCGGCGAGCCTGTGATGGGGTTGTTGGGGCAGGGAGCGCTGTCGAGTCGTGTGACTCCAGACCCTGAGCTGGTGTGGCCAGTGCCACGCCACTGGAGTCTGCAGGAGGCAGCCACCGTGCCCTTGCCCTATGTGCATGCTTACTATATAGTCAGTATTCATTTATTCCTTATGAACGACTTCTATAAGAATACTTTTCAAGTGACTAATGCTGGGTAAAAATATATGCTGTTTATTTGGTGCTTTGAATATAAATATAGTGTGTTCTTGGCTCATTGCAGTTAAGTTTGGCATTTCTGTTTAGCTCAGTAAAGTAAAGTTGATAAGTGGAGATCGTGTGCTAGTCGTCGGTGGCGCGGGGGCGTTGGGCCAGGCCCTCATCTCTGTTTGCCTGTCGCTGGGCTGCGGCATCTTCACAACTGTCAGCACTTTACGTAAAAAAGAAGCCTTGCTCAAGATATTCCCAACACTTAAAGGTAAGAAAAAATTAAAAACAATCACTAAATCATCCAAGAAAGTTGAAATATCGTAGAAAATATGTTAAATATTCAAAAATATTTATACAAAATATGTATTTTTAAATTTTTGTATTATTTTATTCCAGAAAACAATATAGTATGTGAGTTAAATGACGAAGTTTTATATGATCATGTGGTCGTACACACTGAAAATCAACTGTGCAAAATAGTTGTTAGCTGTGCATCGGGCCGGTTACGTGAGGCAAGTATTATTAATCCTCTCGTTGTCGCTCTGCTTTATCGCCTGCACATAACTAAATACATTACTACCTATCATCTTCAGTTGTGAGTTTGTAAAATTCGTGTGAATTTAACTGCAGGTAGCAATGAAATGCGTTGGGTCTTCGGGAACATTTTTGGACGTCAATCAGCACGACATGGAAAGGAACCAATCTTTCGGAATGAGCTTCATGTGGGAATGCAGGAATTATAAAATGGTTAATTTATCCAGTCTATTTGATACCAACAATAATGTGGAGAAACAGGTAAGCGAGATTAAATATATGGAATACGTAGAACACAGCATTGACTCCTAACTTTTGTAATTGGATCTCTGGTGTGATTAAAATCTTCATTTACAAATAAGTTACTCGATTGAATCGGAAATAACGTTCTGAAAGTGTTATTTTATATGTTATAATCATTCAATTTCGAAGTTCGGTCACTTGTAAGCCATGTCAGCGTTTGAGTTGTTTTTAATGTTGTTTTGAACTTCGCCTGCCATTACATACACATACATCACTCTTTGTCACGTAACATTGTCTCGTATATCAACAGATCTTCTTAATACTTTTAACTTAATTTCATTGTAGATGATTAAATATTTGATAGCTGAAGGAATAGCCAACGGGGTAGTAAAGCCGTTACCTTCAATAACGTATGTTATTGAAGAAGTTCCAAGAGCGCTTAAATTGCTCTCATCAAGGAATAACATAGGAAGAGTGATAATAGAAATTAACTCGCCTTCTAAAAACATTGTAGTTCCTCGGTAAGTATTCAAAGGAAGATTAGTATGTGAATTCTAATAATTAGAAGAATTGTTTTGAGAAAAAGATGTCTATTTTAATTAACTATATTAAGGTAACTTTCTGTTTCTCAGAATTACTTGCTCTCCGACATCTACATATGTAGTTGTTTGCTCAGAAGAGTTGCTTAGTTTGGAACTGATAGAACGTTTAATTTCTCGCGGCGCTAGAAATGTTACAGTTCTTTGGAATGGGTACACGACTGCCTATTTGCTATATAAAATAAGGTGAGGTTTAAGTATTTACGTTGATGGAAATCATAAACATGACATAAACTAATGCATGTACAAACTAATTCCAGATTTTTGGAAAAATCACATCCAACAGTTAATATAGTTATTAAAAATACAATAAACGAAAAAGAATGTATAAATGCAATAAATGAAGCAGAAGAAGTTGGGTCACTAGATGGCGTATTCGTGATTGTTGACAAAGATGAAAAGTATTCTGATAATGCAGCAGAAGAACAAATACTTTTGGCAAGAAATATACTACTCTACAATACTCTCCTTTCTGTGATTTCAAGCTTAGACTTCGCAACAAGATCACTTTGCAAGAATTTAAGGTAGGAAGCCAATAAAGAATTTAAATCATTAAAAAAGAATAAGTTTAAACATATGTTTTTTTGTTTAGGTACTTTGTTATAGTCAGTAAATCATCACGTAATATTGATGATAGAATGATTTGTTTACAAGCTGAAAAAATATGTAAAGATCGCCAAAACGTCGGTCTTTCGGGACTAGTCTTTGAAACTGAAATTTCAAATGAGGTAAATCGCTTTTACCAATTTGTGATACTTTGAATAAATTTTTATTTCTTTTTAAGTTTGTTATTAATTTCCAGTTGTATAAATATTCCCACTCGAAAAACGATATTGCGGCAGAAACAATACCCGAGGTGCTCAATGCACTGGAAAGAAGTTTGAATCTTAATTACCATAATATCAAGGCTGTAATAGGTCCTTGTGGAGAAACAGATTCTCTGTCAACTAAGAGAAAAGAAAATGGTAAAATAAAACCTTACTGAAAATTGTTTTAATCTTCATCATGAAAGACTAAACACCTTTCGCAAATTTATTTCCATTTTTCCTTGAAGTTTAAAACTTCAGTAAACGATTAAATTATTGTATTACAGTTTTATCAAATGTATACAATACCTATTGCAGCTGTGTAGTGTAGTAGTCAGTAGATACTATCCGTCTCTTTTTAGGGAAAAGGGGAGGTTGGTGATGATGGATATCAAATGTATCATTTACTAAATGAAATAATACTAGTTGTTATAGATCTATCTAATATTTTTTAGATCCTCTAACTACGACAGGAGCTCCTGAAGCAATTACAGAAAGTGGAAGAAAAGTAGAAGTAAATAATATTTCCCAGTTGAGGTATGACACTGCACTTTTAAATATAGTTCACATTTCTTCTTGAATTAAAAAATCTTACTTTGATTTTTTTAATATCACGCCTAAAATTGACAATGATCGAGTTCATCTTCAAAACATAAACATTATTTAGTTTGTAAGTATCCATTTACACGTAACAATCGAAAATTACATTACAGCTTCACCAACAGCAATGGAGATCCTATGCCACATCGACACAACGATTTAGAAATATTTTACTCTCATATTGAGAATGATGTTTATGACATTACGAGTGATCCTCTAGTAAGGATGTCTACTAAAGCCTATAAATATTTCGAGGTAGTTACAGTATTTATACCTATGAGTTATATCTTACACAGTTATTCTCAAGTAAATAAATAAGGCAAAGTTCTTTAACATTACACGTTATGCAGGCGATTAGATCAATATTATTGTTTTGATAACAGGTCCAATATGAATTAGATCAGACTGCGCCCCATCTGATACTTATCCCTGGCTTCGAGGGCCATCACAGAATATTCAACGAACTCTGCGAGCCCTTGAAAATAAGAGCTGTCGCTATGAAAATGAACACATATTTTAATAGTCTCAGTATTCAAGAAATGTCATTAAATATATACAAGGTAATTGTCGACGCACCGGATTTTTCGTCGACTAAATAATTCTATCTTCCGTCATCTCAGTCAACTCTCCCTTCTTTACATCACTTTCCAAGTCTACCTCTACCGATGTATCTCTACACATGAATAACTAATGTCGTCCTTGTTACATGCCATTCGTCCTCTCTCCTCATAACATGCCCATACCATGCTAACATTTTACTCCTTAATTTTTCAACCACTGGGGCTACTCTCAAACTTCCTCTACTATACTCTTTTTCTACTTACGTATCTCCTTTCTTAAGCGGCCACCCGAATTTGTCTAAACAGTAACAGTAAAGCAATTGCTTCTCATAGACATCCACAAATGCATTGGGTGCATAGTGTTGTCTACCTTTAATCGACGGAGGGGGAGGGGGGCGGACATAAAGCGCATATTTCCCTTTCGTGGGCGTCTCCTCCTCTGTTGAATCCAATTCTCTTTCCATTCCAATACCCTATAAGAATAGACAGTACGGGACCAAAGTTAGGCCTTCGGCACGTACATTCATCAGACGATTTGCGGTGTTACTTCCACTTTACACCTGTGTACTGTATGGTCGTGGTATTGTGTTTGTTGTTGGCTTATATCGTTATGTATGTAATAAAATAAAAAAATTGCATCTTGCAGAGGTTATCAAGAATTTTTGACTTTAACAAGAAGTTTTATCTGTTGGGATATTCTTTTGGTGTGAACGTAGCGCTGGAATTAGCAGCTTTAATAGAGAAACACGGTAAAGCGTTGTGTTTATATTACTCTAATTTGTTCGTGGTATTTTTTTTAACATATTCAATCGGTGCAGGTGCGCGCGGTATCGTCTACTGTTTGGACAGCAGCCCCGATGCCTTGAAGCATCTAATGGGGTCTTACGCCGGTGATTTATCTAATGACAATCTGCAGAATGTAATCACCGCTCATATGTATCATCTAACGACTGGATTAAATAGTGAAGAGTTTTTGAAGGAGTTGGAAAATGTTGGCGGCTGGTACAATAAGATTGACTTTTTCATCCGACGTGTTAAAGGACTAGTACCCTATTCACATGAATTTATGAGAAATATGTTGGAAACGACGTATGATAGAGTTATAATGGCGAGGGAATTTCGACCGGAGCTAAAATTAAATTCAGAATTGGTCCTCATCAAGTCAACAACTTCTGCTGCATTGGTGAACCTTCCTAAAGACTATGATTTGGGAAAGTACTCGAATAATCCCGTCAAAGTTTACGATATCAAAGGAGACCACGCATCGGTACCGTACGATATCAGAGTTTCAAGTATTATAAATAACTCGCTAGAAACAAATCTGTTGGATGAATTTAATGGCACAAACACATGTGAGACATATTTGATGATTGATTAGCATACTAGTTAAATATATTGTATCGATTCACTCACTTCGTTTACTATTAGCATGACTAGCAGAGTGCCGTTATAAATGAATTGCTAAAAATAATTGACTTAAAATATTATTTAATATTAGTTACTTCTTTTTGGTCATGGATAATGTTATTCATTGTTTTATACTTTTACATTGTTAATATTTATAATAAACGCTGTGTTGTTAAGCAGTACTTTTATTTACGCCAAACTCTTGAAATACTTAATACTTAATAAGATAAAAATGTCTTTATAAATTATAGAAAAAATAGTTGCAAATATATTTGTTGGAGTGACGAGTGGTTTGTAGAATTCAATTCCGAAGACAGATCTATATAACTATATATGGTAACTATACTCAATTGTGGGCGTACCAATGTCGGAGATAATAAAATAACAATCGCATAACATTAGAAACACCCACCCTTCGTTAACCAACATCTTAAATGAAAACTGCACACACAATCTAATCGGGTTGCAAACATTTACAGAGATTAACCAATTGATTTTATAACAAAGCGTATCATTCTACCATTTAATGACAACTGTCAACAGTCATTCGATCGTCGCCTTGACATCTATCCAGCCCGATCCACATTCAGTCAGTACTCAAAGTTACTAATTGCAATCGTTATCATTAACTGTAATCGTTCAAAATGTATCAATCGTTTCGCCCCGTTATATTTACAAACTCCGATGCAAAATAGATCGTCTAGTGTGAAATTTTCTCTGTGAGATTTTTTCTAACTTCACTGTTTTGTCTATCTACAAAGTATTAAGCTGTTCTACTATAGCTGGTCGCGTTACTTATGGCCTTTTTAAATTACGAACCAATAAATTATTTTGGTGTTTTTAAAAAGAGGTTGAAGTTTGCTCATGATCATTTAAATTGATCTTCCAATCAATGGCGTAGTATCATTTGAAGTGACGAATCCAAATTTGAAGTTACAGTCGGCGTTAAGAGGAAAAAAGTGTTTCGGATCAAAGGTGTCCAAACTCGATGGAGCTGCGTCGTTAATTACGGAGTTCTATGGCCACCTTCTAGCTCTAGCACCACAGCCTGATGATACAATATATTATCAAAGTATTCGTCAAGACAAATCAAACCACTAAAAAAGCAACCTGTGGTTCAGTGGTGAGCACTGAACCGCCAGCATCCTATATTGGATGACTGTACTGGTTAAGTGTGAACCGAAGTCTGTCTTGTTCCTGCATAAGCATCATTCCTTGACTCCCAGGTTTGTTCCCTTGTTTAACCAAATTTACCTAACCAGTTAGGTAAAAGGAATTTTTCGCTATCTGCTAAATAGTTGTCCAAAGAGGAGTTTTTTTCCGCTTTCATAACCAGTCAAGTTTTTGTGCAAGGCTGTAAAATATATTATGTAGTAAATAAACGAATGAAGATATATGGTAGATAATAATAGATGGCCTGAAAAATTAAAAAAAAACTATGCTCCCCCTACCAGTTGCAAAAACGAAAAAAATATTTCTCTTTGACAACTAGTTAGCAAACTGCGAAAAAAACACTTTTTACCTAACTGGTTAGGTAAATTTGGTTTAGGAAAACAGAACAAGCCGACTCCCACTCTTTGCATCCCAGTCAGTTTAAATCAAACATCCACACGCGACGCTACTGTGTATTGAATCGGAGTGTTTTACAAGTTTTACTAGTTTTTTACAATTCGTTTTGCAGAAAGAATTTTAGAAATTGGCTCAGTCGTTTTTGATTTATTTCAATACATACAAAAGTCAAAAAACCCAAATGTTTCCTCTTTATAATATTGGTATAGATATAAATGGTTTAAGATCGCATTTCTTAAACCTACTCATCATACGTTTAAGCTAAAATATATTTGAAACAATATCTAAGTTTTTATGTAAGGCCCTTTATTTCTCCAGCAGAGCGTTTATTAAAAAATTACTGCTCAAACCGCCTTCAAAACAAATTTAGCGGTTTGGAAAAAAAATCTGTTGTGTTTTGATTATTTCATATAGTTTAAACAAAAATATTTTGGTTGTGGTCAAGGTAATAAATATTTGAGTACAGTCGGGGAAATTGGCGATGTTCCAACTACAAAAGCTTGAACATTTTAAAACGAGACGCGGAACAAAAATCAATATATCGCATCGTCAATCAATAAATACGTCTGAACGAAATAAAAAGTCGATTGTGATACACATCGTTTCTTTACTACTCACTGGTACTTTACACTCACTGGTATCTAATTAGTTATTTGTCTGGTTGCTATAAACAAAGCATTTTATCCTGAAGTGAAAACACCACATATTTCCGCCACTGTACGTACGTCTTTGTATTTTAATATATGATATTTAAAGTAATAATTTCCTCAGTAACTAACATAAAAAAATCCATAACACACCAGGCTCTTAACTTTACCTACTCAATGCAAAAAAAACCCAAAACGTAATAAAAATTCATAAACTGGATGAAGAACATACATAATTTATAGTTAATCATCAAAGAAAAAAAACTTGCCTCTAGAGGTATATATATGAGTTTACGCACCAACTGACTTTTGTTGTTTACAAGACAGAATATTATTTATATAAACATCTTTGTATTTGATTCAATTTAGTGGATACAGTGTTTGTGCGGTGAAAATCAAAATTCTAGAGCGGAAAAATGGAAATTTGTTTTCTTTTATTCATTTTATTTGTTCATCAAAGTTCAGGTGTTATATACAAACTTAACGGTCAGTAACTCCTTTTATATAAGTATTTTTAAGTATAAGTAAAGAGCAACGCATCGCTTGATAATACCAATTTACTGCCATATCTTTTCGAATGAGTAGATACACTTCATCTACTAGAGAGTGTTTGATACAGATGATACATGTTCGCCACGTTATATTCTAAACATGTAGTTATATTTGGAGGCCGGGTTATTGCGGGTAACCAGGCGCATTTTTATTCGCCCCCAAAGAAGAGTCGATTCGAAACCCTCTTGGGTTCAGTCGGGCGCATGCCAGCTGCGAGGGGTGCAGGCGAAAAAGTCGGCACAGAGTGAATAAAGTTTGGTAAGACCGATTGAAGACAATTAAAAAATATAAAGTAATAAAGAGTAGCAGTATTTCTGAATCGATTATATTATGATCAACCAACCGACAAGAGCTTATAATTGACGTCATTTGGGCGGTATAAAGCGGGGAGATGACGTGATGTTAAAATAGGTAGATCAAAGTCGTCACCTAAAGTATTAAAATATGGACAGAACATCGTCATATGAATAAATTTTTATGATAGTCAAAAAACGTGTTAAATCATTGAATTTTTTTTATAATTATGCTAACTACACTTGCCGTGGTCATGGACGTGGAACGATGTGAACTTTTTTTATATATGGTTTGATTTTTTTTTTAGAAAAAAATAGCTGGTGTATGCGTAAATATATTTCTGTTGAATTTTTATGAAAGGTTTTTAATAAAATGTTTATGGAAGCTTTATTATTTTAGTAATCAAGTGTAGAAGTATTCACTTAAGCTTTTATGAAATTAGACACGGTCATCTTGTAAAAATAAAATCTTGATAGGATTATTAATTACCATAAAACTATTTAAAAAAAAATTCTGTCGGTTAGTTCGCACCCGCAAGCCCTCGTTTGTTGTGGGTCCTATCCGAAACCGTTTCATTGCTCAATTTGACATTTTATTTTTCAGATGTAGATTACAATCGTATGCCCCCATTGAACGTCATTGATGACTATGATAGTTGTTTACAAGATCGTGATGCATTATACTGCACCATGAATTTGAAAATAGTATCGGATACTCCTAGCGATGTAATGGATTTGATAAGGGTAAGCCAATTATTTATGCGTAGAACCTATAGAAGGGAAGCGAGTTTATAATTGCAGCAGGTTGTATAAACCGATATATGCAACAGCCACAAAGAAAAGTTTGGCATAGGTGTAAAATTTAATCTTTTTTATAACTGAAGGGGCAAACGAACGGCAAGTACACCAAGGTTACGATGGCAATGGCAATCCACAACACTAAAGGATCTACATTGTATGTGTTTTTGGCCTTTGAGGAAATGATAGGCTCGCTTATTGAAGGTCACTTAGTCGTGGTTTGGACATACCGCCTAGAAAAGGTAATTCTACAACGCGGCTGTGCGAGGCAAAATGTTTCACCGTTATGCGGATCAAAACGATGTGGATAGCTGTCGACTGGAGGAACACTTAGGCTAGTAATTATGATTTACCATCATTGACCCACGGAGGAAAAAGCTCAACGATTAACACATCGAAATTGATTATGTTATCAAAGAAGAGTAAAACATTTCCCACACTAATTTTTTTTTTGTTCCAAACAGAACTATTCGGCGTATGATTTGAAACATTTCGATCATAGTAAACTATATCGGGGAGTCTGTGTGACTAAAACATGCGATATTACCAAGCAAGAAATAACAATGAATATAAACAACTCGCTCGAGATTTGTATTAATGAATCTTTATGGACACAATACAAACTTAAAGTCAAACTTTTATCGCCACCTAATTGTTATTCTGCAGAAAGAAAAATAAAGTTAGATATTTATGATTTAATTGTTGGATTAATATGTATGATGATTATAATTGTCAACGTCGTTGCCACATTGTACGACATTTATGTACCTAAAAAATCTGACACCAAAGGTATGTTGTGTTCATTATTATGGTTTTTATATCATTTTTTTAACGGTTGGTTCGGAAATTGTTATCCAAAATACTGAAAAAAGCGTACACAAAAAGTGATTAGTTATAAAAATAATAATTTAAATGTAGATTAAAATTTTAACAAACAGGAAACTGGCTGTTTAACCATTTTAACCTTTATTAATTATAGTAGCCTTTTGCATAAACTTATGATAATTAAATACTGGCAGTAATTTGATTAAAAAAATTAGGATACTGCAATTGTGAGGTCGGAAACATCTTATTATATTGGGTAAAAAAAAATCCTTTAACCCGATTGACAAAGAGGGT